GCATATGGAGCTGGTAGTGATTTTTATAAGGTTAAAATGGGAAAATTTAGCCTTATCTTTTATTGCAGTAGCTTTAATTTTTTAATTTTGAGACGGAGTCTTGCCTGTGATCTTGGGTCGCTGCAGCCTCCGCCTTCCAAGTTCAAATGATTTTCCTGCCTCAGCCTCTTGAGTAGCTGGGATTACAGGTGCCTACCACCACGCCCAGCTAATTTTTGTATTTTTAGTAGAGATGGGCTTTCACCATGTTGGCCAGGCTGGTCTTGAACTCCTGACCTTGTGATCTGCCCACTTCAGCCTCCCAAAGTGCTGGGATTACAGGCGTGAGCCACCACACCCAGCCTATTTTCAATTTCTCTGTATTGTTTGGGCATGGCCTAGCTGGTCTAAAACCCCAGTCAAAAGAAAGCTTGAAGAATCTAAACTTTGAAGTTGTCTAAAAAATGAACAAAAATGATGAAAAGGCCAGAGTAACTGCTTTCCTATATTTTTACTGATTTGTTGTGTTAAAAATTTCAAAGTAGACATCCATTACTTTATAATAAAGGGGAAACCCATTAAATGTACTTGATTGTTTAAAAAAAAAAAAAAAAAAAAAAAACAGGTGTTGGTAGTAAGGGACTGCTAATGCTATTCTGCCCCTCTAGATGTCTGGCAAACTGCTGGATTCAGAAAAGAGTTCTGGGCTCTTACTTGTTGGTGGAGTGTCACAGTAGGAAGAGAAGATCTTCCTTCTTTCTTGGTGATCCTGGTTCAGGCCCTTTTGAAGAGATTCAAAGGCATAAGGCGTGAGGTTACCTGGGGGCATGATCGCAGTCCTCTTGGCTATGCCTTTTTGGCATCAAAATAACTCCAGTGAGTAATGCTTAAAAATACTTGGTTAGGAAATTTTATCCCCAAGTTTAAATTTATTTTTTATATTAAGTATGGTAACTAATAACTAATATTTATTTGCAAGGCACATCTGGTTATTTCATTTGTATTAGTGATTAATTTCTCATTAAGGTCTTCTCAAGTTAAAAAACACTTTTTAAAAGATTATTTTATCTAGAGGAAATGTTAATACGTCATTTGACCTATTAACATTCAGCTTTCTCAAAGGAAGTAATTAAGCAGTAGCAGTAATGATGCTGTTGAAACAATTAACAGTAAAGCCATTTAGACTGATTCTGAAGTAATATTGAGATTTGTGTTAATTGGCATAATTGTGGTATGCAAAAAGTTCCTAAATATGGTCCTTGTGAACTGAATAATCATCACAGGTTAGTAGTAATTCTGCAAAGGTAGCGAGATAATGCAAATGTCATGAGTTTGGATTCTGTTTAACCTAACTTACTTTATATATCAGGATGGACAAAAAACCTTCTTTGAATTTTTAAGGCAGTTTTCAGACATCATCTCCAGATTTGAGAGAAGAGTTGTTGAAACAGTCTCTGAAAATAAAGACAACTATGAAAGGAATAAAATCTTAAATGTGTGCATATCGCCACCAAGTGGCCAAGAAAGTATTGTTTGTCATAGGTGATAGAGCTGCTGGGAAAGATGAGAAAATAAAGGCAATGTATTTCATAGGATATCTTTTTATAGTAGCAGTTAAACTCTAAGCTAACCACTTACTGGTCAGACTTTTCACTGAGTGTCTGATACATATTGACCAACTGCCCAAATTAAAAAAAAAAAGTTGGTTTCATACACCTGGCCTAAAATACACCACATAAGATATATTTTAGGCCAGGTGCAGTGGCTCACGCCTGTAATCCCAACACTTTGAGAGGCCAAGACAGGAGGATCTCTTGAGACCAGGAGTTCAAGACCAGCCTGGGCAACATAGTGAAACTGTGACTCTGTCTTTAAAATTGAATAAGTAAATAAATAAATATGTATTTAAGTTTTCTTCTGTTAATTTGGTGGCCTTTTATTTTTACCCCACTCCGTTTAGTTTCTTTTGCCTGTATTCTTGCCCCTTTTTTTTTGTATCTGTGCTTTTATTCAATCACTGTATTGTTACTGAAGTCTGAGTAACAACTTGATTCATTTGCTGTATTTTAGGGTGTGGTGATATTGGGATGTTTAAGATGTGATTCCATCAGCAATACAGAAATAATTTCAGATTATTTCTGAGTAATTAGATTATAGATTATATTGGATTTGCTACTTCCATCATGGCTTTTTGAAATAATTATGTGTTGACTTTTTTAAAGACTCAGAGCCCATTGAAAAGTTTTCATTTTTCTTCTATTTATTACATAGTTGGAAAGCACTTTCGAGATAGAACCTTTCGGTCAGTGTTTTGAGTAGAGAGTTTTTTATCAACTGATTTTTACCATTTCATGCATTTTGTCACAGTGCTTTTGAGAAAACCAGCACTACTCAATTCTTTTATCTATTTCTCTCTTTATATTTTTCTGATGTGAAATTAAAAAGTACTATTTATGATAGCTCATTGAGATTTGACTACTGTATTTGGTATACAGGTTGTGCATTCCCAATCCAAAAATCCAAAATGCTCCAAGATCTGAAAACCCTGAGTGCCAACATGACCCTGCAAGAGTCTCACTCTGTCATCCAGACTGGAGTACAGTGGCACGATCTTGGCTTGCTGCAACCCCCTCCTCCTGGGTTCAAACGATTCTCGTGCCTCAGCCTTCTAACTGGGATTACAGGCATGTGCCACCATGCTTGGCTAATTTTAGTATTTTTAGTAGAGACAGCATTTTGCCATGTTGGCCAGGCTGGTCTGGAACTCCTGGCCTCAAGTGATCTGTGCACCTTGGCCTCCCAAAGTGCTAGGATTACAGGCATGAGTCACTGTGCCCAGCCTGAAGCATTTTAGATTTAGGATGTGCAACCCTCAGTATAAATGCAAACAATCCAAGATCTGGAAAAAAAAAATTCAAAACACTATTGGTCCCAAGCATTTTAGATCAGGAATCCACGACCTATACTAAAGCACAGTTCTTTGAGTTTTACAGCTGATATGCCAGTTTACTAAGGAGTCTAAACTTCAGTATTCAATAAAATCTAATAGGAGATTTGTTTCCAAAACTGATGCCTTCTTGACCTCCTGAGAGTGTGCCAGCCTAGGTATTTGACTCTGTGCCATAGTAAGCATTGGGTGACTCCCAGCATTAGAAGCCAGAAAGCTCCCCTTTGTAGACTTGAACTGAACCCACTCCAAAACTAGCCCAGCTAATTCAGGCTTCCCTCCAAACTTAGAGTGACCTGGAACTGGGCCCTTTACCTTGGCTGTGACCTTTATATCCTTGGCCTCAGTGTAAGTATACAAGGATGAAAACTCCTCTTTACTATTGGATTAGATAAATATGAGAGGACTACAGAGGCTTCCCTCCTCACTCCATTAAATCCCTAGGGCCTCCTTGGTCCACTTGTCCATTATCTCTGGCTTTGCTGCCTGTTAATCCCCCTCCTGCTCTCTGCTTCAGCCACTCTGGTCTGTTGGTTGTTTCCCCACTGTTGGTCAGTCCTTTCTACCTCAGAGCCTTTGCACTGGCTCTTTCCTCTGTGGAAATGCTCTTGCCCCAGATGGCCACATGACTTTAGGTTATGACTCAAAGTCATCATCTTAAGGAAGCTTTTCCTGGCCACCTTGGGTTGTCCCCATTTCAGGTACCCCTTGCCTCCTTTCTTTTTTTCTCTCCGTACATATGCACATTATTTTACTCATTTATCTGTTTTTGTTACCTCTCTCCTATGAGAGTGTAAGCTCCAGGTGAGGACAGGAATTTTGTTTAGTTTTTTGTTTTGTTTTGTTTTTGGTTATTTTTACTACTGTATCCCTAGTATCTGTGACATACTCAGGCTGTAATAAATAATTTGGAGAATTAATTAATATTAAATAAACCCAGCTTACTTCTTGTAATTCATATGTAAATTGCCTCTAAAGTAGTCTGTTTAGGGTTGAGCAAAAGGTAGGTGCCATTATATATTCAGAGTCAGTTCAGTAGATAATATTGTAGAGACTGAGGAGGAAGCAAACAAGAAGTAGATATTCCCACCTTCAGGAAGACCTGAGGGCCGGATCCAGCCTGCTGGTGTCCGTATACACATGCATATATGCACATAAAGTTTCTTTCTTTTAGTCTACATATTGTTGGCCTACAGAGTGATAATAAGTATAAATCAGTTGCCAAATTTAAAAAAAAAAAAGGTATTTCATATAAAATTTGATTTCAGGCATCTTTTGAACAATTATGGGATCAACAGTAGGCCTCCATACCCATAGTTCAGCCACGTGAATGTGAGCGGGTATATACACACCAGGAGCTGATTATCACTGCATATAAGCTCCAGGTTTTCTTACACTAGCATTAAGAAAATTAAGCAATTTTCTGTACTAATATAATAGTACAAAAAGTGAAAGTGACTATGGAGGCTGTGTGTTTCAAGAAAGAAGGGAAAGAACCAACTTCTTTGGTTCTAAACTAAAGATACTCCTAACTAAACTAAGGGATATTCCTAATTATTATTATTATTATTGTTATTGTTTTGAAACAGAGTCTCACTCTCTTTTTTTTTTTTTTTTTNTTTTTGAGACAGAGTTTCGCTCTTGTTACCCAGGCTGGAGTGCTATGTCGCGATCTTGGCTCACCGCAACCTCCGCCTCCTGGGTTCAGGCATTTCTCCTGCCTCAGCCTCCTGAGTAACTGGGATTACAGGCACGCGCCACCATGCCCAGCTAATTTTTTGTAGTTTTTAGTAGAGACGGGGTTTCACTGTGTTGACCAGGATGGTCTCGATCTCTTGACCTCGTGATCCACCCACCTCGGCCTCCCAAAGTGTTGGGATTACAGGCGTGAGCCACTGCGCCCGGCCTCAGATATCACTCTCATCCAGGCTGGAGTGCAGGTACACTGTCACAGCTCACTGCAGCCTTGACCTCCCAGACTCAGGTGGTCCTCCCACCTTAGCCACCCTAGTAGTTGGGACTGTAGGTGCCTGCCACCATGCCCACTAATTTTTGCATTGTTTTGTAGACACGAGGTTTTGCCATGTTGCCCAGGCTGGTTTCAAAATCCTGGGCTCAAACAATTCGCCAGCCTCTGCCTCCCAGAGTGCTAGGATTATAGGCATGAGCCACCGCGCCCACCTGGACATTCCTGTTTATTGGATACCCCGTTCACCCATTTATATTACTTATGTGGCTAATGTAGTTAATTTGAGTTTTCAGGCCTCCAGAGAGATATGACACAGATGTTTTAAAGTATGTCTAAATCAGCATTATGATTGAGCAAATGTGAATTTACACCCTATATAAGGACTGGATTGATGGTCTAAACTATGTAAAATATGAGCCTGGAGCTAGGCTTTGCAATAGATAATATTTTTAATTGCTAAAGAAAAGATTATAAGAAAGTCATTCTCAAAAGAACTTGAGGGTGGTTTTTGACAACTGGCAAAACAAACCAGTGGTTGTCTATGGGTTGAAAGAATATAGTGTTTTGTTCTTTTTGCATGAAACACTTCTCACATATCTACAGGTGGTCCAGGTGTATATAAAATTCCAGGCTATATAAAACACAGCAGTGCTCATAATCAGAATATCCATTTACTTTTGACTCTTTTACTTAGTTCTGTTAATATTTTGGATGTTTCTACTCGGGACAGTGCTCGAATACAATTTTCCAGGTTAATTACCACATAAAGTTAAATGCAGTATCCATAACAATAATGTCATTCATTAATGATTTTGTCATTTTGAATAAGCCTTAATTAGTAATTACAGATTTTCTGGTGGTTCATCATGCTTTGTAATGTGTTAGAGTACACTGGATTTGCTGAATTCCAGTAGTTTAGAACTCTGAGCCATGTGAAAATACAAAGATAAGTTCTATACTCTAAAAAGTAACTGTACGCCTAATTCCAGTATTTTACCTGAACAGATAATAGTCATTGTGGAAGTCTTGATTTCTGTGTTGAGAGCATGATTATTTGCATTACAAAACGCTTCACCAAAATTTTTCATTGGGAAATAGGTGCATTTCAATATGATTTTGTATTCATAATGTTCAAGAAAAGGAAGTGCTTTCTTGAATCTAACTGATTTGTGCTTTGGTTTTTGCCCCATTATTCTTTCAGGTTTTTTTGCCCTCCTCCTTGTGTATATCTTATGGGCAGTGGATGGAAGAAAAAAAAAGAACAAATGGAACGTGATGGTTGTTCTGAACAAGAGTCTCAACCGTGTGCATTTATTGGGATAGGAAATAGTGACCAAGAAATGCAGCAGCTAAACTTGGAAGGAAAGGTAAATCAAGACTGCTAGTTCATCAGAAAGGGGTACTATGAGACCAGAATGTAGTTTTCATATTCATTTTTGTGGTGGAGATTTCTTTCTTTAATAGCTGTTGGTAACAGCTTATTGAATATATAAACTAGGACCAAAAAATATGCCTCTCAGATAACTTTGGTCTAGTCATTCCTGAAGCTTATGCTGCTGACGTCGGAAGGTGGCATACGGAAAGCTTCCTCAGCTTTCAAGCAGTTTTAGCAGACTGTAAATCCGATTTCTGTTGGAAGCCAGTAATAAATTTAGGAGGCTGGATGCTCATCTTGTTTGACAGAGGTTTGATACTCAAATATCAACAAAAATACATTGTTCAGTAATGTTTTACTCTGCTGTCTTAATCTTAGTTTTATACTAGATATAATTTTTTATATATATATATTTTCTGGGAAGCATTTACCTGGGTTATAAAGATCATAAATGTTTACTTGATATCAGTGTGAAGCAGAGTGATACGCTAGACAAGAACAGCCACAGTTGGCTTTACTCAAATTTTAGTTTGTGGTGCAGGTTCTTTAATTTCTAGGGAAAACAATTTATCAACTAGTTTACTAATTTTATGAATTTAGAAAGCAGTCAGTCAATCTATACCTTTTTCCTTCCCCAAGATGGAGTTTTACTCTGTCACCTAGGCTGGAATGCAGTGGTGCAATCTTGGCTGACTGCAACCTCTACCTCCCAAGTAGCTGGGACCGTAGGTGTGCATCACCATGTCTGGCTAATTTTTTTTGGTGGCGACGGGGTTTTGCCATGTTACCTAGGTTGGTCTTGAACTCCTGAGCTCAAGCAATCCACCACCTCAGCCTTCCAAAGTGCTTGGATTACGGGCATGTGCCACCATGTCCAGCCAGTCTGTACCTTTAGTATTGAAAGCTTTTTATTCACTTAGAATTTAGCTGTGATTTTATTTTTCCTTGCTACCTATAATTTGGAAAATGGATAGTCTGATCTCAATGACTATATAAATGTCTTCTAAAGTAGTGCATAAACAGCTATTTCATTATTTGATAAATCTTTGTTGAATATTTTAGTGTTTGCTTTGTTGTAGTTGGCACTAGGGATATAGGTTGGAAGTAGTGTTGATGGAGGTGAGCTAGGGGATTTATATTCTCAAATTCAATTTTAGTCATTTTACAGATAGTACTACGGGTCTTAATATCAGCTACCTACAAATTTAGCTATTTGTATGTCATTTATATCTTCATAGTTTTTGTCAGTAAGATTTGTTGACTATATATTTTAAATTCGATTTGGGATAGTACTTACTACAATAAAAGTTGTTTCATCTTAAACCAGTAAAACTATTTCTAAATTATGACCCCTGAGTTAAAGTAATGAATATGTTTAAGTGGTGGTTTGATCTAATAGATCTTAGTCATGTCTCATCTGTTTTCTTGTTACCTAGGAAGTCTCAGAGTTATATGCCTCCAGACTTCACATATAGACATTCAGTTCTATGAATGAGTGGATTGTGGATAGGTAGTGAGAAGCTAGGGATTCTAGCTACCTGTGTGTCTGTTTAATCCTACTTCATTGCTCATTTTAACCAGTTCCAGCTTCCAGTAATTTTAAGTGAGGTAATACTAAACAAACCAACCAATAGTATCACTGCTTGTCTTTTGCAGCATTGTGGCTTAGTAGTGTTACATTAAAATTTTGTATTTTAGGGGTCCCTCAACGTGGAGATCTTACGGCTGTTTTTGATTATATTTTCCTTTAACTTCCACCAGTATACCCTTTTCCCAAGGCCTAGAAACTGGCAGAAGAGGAATAGGATGCCTGAAAGCTTGAGCATTTCACTAGTATTTAAAATACCTAGTAATAGGATAGTACAGTATCTGTAAGTAAAAATTATATGTTAATTTTAAGGAAAAATGCTATTAGGGAAGTTTTTGTAAAGTAAGACTGGTGAGAGTCAGTAGAAGGCATCCCAGGCAGAAAAAATATATATATAATCATGTGCTAAGAGCATAAAGGTTTAATAACATGATTTTGACCAAGGTACGCAAAGATGTCCTGAGCAGTGGATGCTGAGTTTCAGTAAGAGGCACTTTGCTCTTGTATGCCTCACTTAACTTCCCTTCACTGAAGGAAATACTATTTTCTTTCAATAGTCTATTCAGTAAGTGATACAATTAGTTATTGAGAAATATGAGAAATTCGTTTTGCATTTTTTGATATTTATACTTAAATGCAAAAATATACTTTTAAATATTTACTACTACAAAATTCTAGTCTATCTAGCCCTTTAAATTTATGGTTATGACATTTGGCTGTATGTAGCTAATATGTTGGATCTCAGATTTTGTTTAATGTTTTTAATTTGTTAAAAACTTTTTAAAAATTTACATTTTATATAGTCAACAGCTAGGTAAGTTGTGCAACAAGGATTACTTAACACACTTGTGTTTTTCTTATTATTAAACATCATATACTCTTGCTAACATTTTGTTTCTATAATTCAAACATTTCTGCAGTATCACTTTGCAGCATTAGATTTGGCATTTCTTCTTCCTTTCAGGGCAATGTCTTTATTGCCTAAAGAACTTGTTTTCAAAGAGCATTTCTACTAGAGAGATAATTATATGCCATTTTCTCTTCTAGAATTCCATTAGCTAATTTAGCCTTTTAGAAAAGCAAGGCAAATGTAATTTTAGTTTTATTTGCTTATTTTCTATGAGTCAGTGACTTTTTACTTCTTAATGGAATTTGAGTAGTTTGTGGTCAGCAGCCTTAGAATTTTTTAAAAATAATAGTTGCCATAAAGTTATCTTGGTTCTGATTTTTGTGGATTCAAACTACTCATTGTAACTAGGGATATATTTCCTTTCTTTCCAAGGAGATATATGTATGTTTGTTTTTTTAAACAAAATGCAGTTCTTTGTGTGTAGGTCTTATTATCCAACCTTTTCTTTTTTTCCTTTCTTGTTTGCAGATATGTACTATTTATGCTAGATTTCAGTATTTTCTCTTTCCTGATATGGAACTTACCTTTTAATTTTAACACTAAAAATTAAGCAATCAACATTTTTAAGCTTTCCCATTAGAATGTGATTCCCTTCACTTAGATATACATTTCATTTTTGCTTCCCGTGACTGTCTGCTTTAGTACGTTGATACCCATTTTCATAGACTTCATCTTATGTTCCAGAACAATTTCCTTGCTTAGGCTTAATTTGACTTCAGTGTTGTCACTTTTAAGGGTATGGCAGGCCCATGGGTACAGCAGCCCACAGATGCTGTCTCTGAGTGTGTTGGAGATCCTGGGTGCAAGGAGTAATGTGACTGCAAAGTACTGTTATTTTTTGTTTCTTTATTCATTTTGAGACAGGATGTCGCTCTGTCACCCAGGCTGGAGTGCAGTGGTGGGATCACAGCCCATTACAACCTCTGCCTCCTGGGCTCAATCGACCCTCCCACCTCAGCCTCCTTAGTAGCTGGGACTACAGCCTTGTGCCACCATGCCTGGATAATTTTTGTGTTTTTCATAGAGATGGGGTTTTACCATGTTGTCCAGGCTGGTCACGAACTTCGAGACTCAAGCAGTCTGCCCACCTTGGCCTCCCAAAGTGCCAGGATTACAGGAATGAGCCACTACCCCGGCCTGTTTTTATTTTTCTTATTACCACGATTAGCTTTATCTTATTTTTGCCTTCTACGGACCAGAACCTCTCAAAGCATTTACCAGACTTTTGATTTTTAAAAACTTAATTGAATATATAATGTTCAGGATGGCACCTGAATTTTCTCATAAGAGCTTTGCTATGAGAAATACAGTAAACCATTGCAGTAATTTTGTCTGCTGCCAAGCCTGTCTGTGAGTAAAATTTTAAAGATAAAAACCTAGAAGGCATTAACTGTTTCCTGAGTAGCATTTGCTCTGCTTTTTAAAAGGAAGATACAGCAGAGGTAGTTGAAGAAACTTGTTTAGCTTAATTTTAAAGCAGAATGTTGATCTTTTAAAAATATAATTCAGATATTTTAGATACTTACACTGTGTTTCAGCATTATTTATCTTATCTGGAAAAGGACAGATAAGATAAATAATGCTGAAACACAGTGTAAGTATCTAAAATATCTGAATATCTGCTTTAGTACGTTGATACCCTTTAGTAATTTAGACCCCTCCCTAATACACAGGGATCAAGAGAATAGGAAAGATTTTAGAATTGTCTCATATAATATAAGCAGTAGCATTTTGAAGTGTCTTTGCTATTTGTAAAGTGCTGTAACTCTTTAATACCATCTTTTCAGTTATCAAAATTTGAATTCTGGTAAACTGACATAATGCCTTGAGCATTTTCTCTGTTACCTTTAAATTCATTTCCTTTGATGATACAATATGAATGGTCCTTTTGGGCAAAGTTAATCATTTTAAAAATGTTCTTTAAAGTATACTTAAATCTCTTTCTGCTTTAAGATATTTTATAGTCATCCACTTTGTTTTCCTCAAACTTATAAGTGATTGTTTTCCTAAAACTTAGAAGTGATTACTCTAGCTTTCGGCTATATAAAGAGAAACATTCTATGCACTATTTTGAGAAGAACTGCTAAAATCTTTTACATAATTCTGTCGAATTCTGATAGCTTTATATATATGTGTGTGTGTGTATATATATATATATATATATACACACATATATATATATACATGTATATACATATATATATGTATATACATATATATATATACACATATATACACACATACACACACACATAATATATTTTGCAGAAAGATAGTCATTGATTTTTTTAACTGTAAAAATTCTGCTTTTAAAAATTACTGCTGTAACATTGAGTGATAATTCCATGGTACCATTGTAGAGCTATATAAAATAAGAAAGGACTATTTTTTAAAATGGTCTTTTAAAGAGGATACAATAGATGACACTGTTTGTATTTTATAGACTTTATAAGGAAGGTTTTGTACGTTTCAGAAATCAATTTCAGTAATTATTACAGTTGATCATTTTTGTAGTTGGTTTTATCAGCTATCCATTGGAATTGTGTTACTTATTTTCACTTAAACCATGGTCATTCTGAGTTGTAGGTACTACATAAACAGACAAGTTTTTGCTGCTATTAAATCATTACTTTTTTTCCCCACAGAACTATTGCACAGCCAAAACATTGTACATATCTGATTCAGACAAGCGAAAGCACTTCATGTTGTCTGTAAAGATGTTCTATGGCAATAGTGATGACATTGGTGTGTTCCTCAGCAAGCGGATAAAAGTCATCTCCAAACCTTCCAAAAAGAAGCAGTCATTGAAAAATGCTGACTGTATGTATGCTTGAGTGTTCTTATTTGTCTCCAGTTCCCACCATTAATAATTAATAATAAATAATTAAGAGACTTTTTTTAAATTAAAAATTGCCTTTTCCATAGCCAATTTATTCATTCTTTTTTGTTGTTGTTGTTCTTCCTTTTCAAGATTTTTTTTTAACTGTATTTTGGGATCTGGGGTACATGTGCACATCCTGCATCCTGCAGGGTTGTTGCATAAGTACATACATGCCATGGTGGTTTGCTGTCTCCACCCCCC